TATTTTGTATAACCTTTTTTTTTGGAACTTTCAGTTGTGTAATAGTAAAAAAACTGGCCTGGAATAAGTTATATAAGACCAATTGGAGATCATAGAAAAAAATTTAGGATCTGTTACCCCGGATAGACAAAAAAAAAAGCCTATTTTTCAACGAACCGGTTCCAGAAACATCCGCCCAAAAGTGCTGCACATCTGCGGCGTGTTCAGTCCTGCGGGCAATTGGCTATCAATCCCTCCCTCCTGTGAGAAAGTGACGATTACAGCGTATTACAATTCATCCATCGACCTCACTGAAGCCACCGGGCTAAAAGAGATCTCTATCAACCAAAAGAAGGCAGAGAAGCTTACGGTAAGTTGATTACTGTAATGCAGATTATTCTATTTTTTCGGCCTTTTAAATAAAGGAAACCTATGTAGGCGATTCTCGACAAAATTCGTGAAGGAGTAGCGACGCGACAGATGGTGTATGGGATGATTGATGAACTGAATAGTGGAGAACCGGGAAGTTTATGGACATATCGGGGGACGGACGATAGACATTACATTAGACATACTCATGTCACTTTCTTCATCACAAAATTACCGACGGCGAGTCAATAAATAATTGTTCCGTAACACTCCAAGATACGTACCACCGTAAACAGGCCGCTCTCGTAGCGTGATGCGTATTTTGAAAATAACTGCAATTGCAGTCGCGCAAGGCGTGCTGTTCTGCAAAATCGAAACGAAAATCAAACCGAACAACGCTTTATTCATTTCAGACGATAGGAAAACACACAAAAAGCAAAAAAAACATCACATTTTCAAGTGCTATTCGTCTCGGCCTTTGTCGCAGGCATAATTTCCTCAACCCCCGGCAGTTCTCCCCTCATTTCCACGGCTTTCGAGAATTTGTAGGCGTGGCGGAGGGCGAGGTCAAACTGTAACAAACGAGTTAGCAACCTCAAAATCCTATATAGGACTCACCGGAAATCGCTGTTGCTCCCAAAGCTGACCATCGCGACGTCGCCAGATTGACACCTTTTGGCCTTGTGGCCGCCAAATCTGCAACAAAATAGGATATGATCAATTGTTCCATGTTTCTCACCCAATCGGTCATCAGATCGAGTTGCGTGGCGCGCTTGTTGTACTCATTGGTATGGATGATATAATTGTAGACCGACACCACACATTATATCATCCATACCAATGTCACCTTTTTTGGTCACGAAACCAGCTGTCGGATGAGTTCTGCTTATGTCAAGCTTCGCCTCTCTCGCAAACAGATAAACGATTTGATCCAAGCGATAGTGTTCATGTCAAAAAGGATAAAATACGTCTCATGGTCTTCAAAAACCATTTCTTCAAACAGTCCCATGATAGACAATGAAAGAAAAAGTAGGCAACATTTAAAGGGGCCGAAATCAGGTCCACGGCCCCCAGCGTTGATTCCTGGCTAATAGCCAGCTGCGACCGCAACGACACTAATAGCCAGATGCGAACGGAATGCGACCGCGCCGCATTATCTTTTGCCCCTGTTTGGGCGTGAAAGCGCTTGAATTTCAGAATTCGGACGCTATTTCAGTAATCCTCTCCGAATTTTGAACATTCTAGACTTTTTAATTATGAAAATTGACCAGAGAATCACCGAGATCAAGAGCTCGAGTGCCTTACAAGGGGTTGGCAGTCGTCTGATCGAAAAACACCTGATCGAAAATCGCCTGATCGAAAATCGCCTGATCGAAAAATCGCCTGATCGAAAATCTCCTGATCGAAAATCGCCTGATCGAAAAATCGCCTGATCGAAAAATCGCCTGATCGAAAATCGTCTGATCGAAAATCTCCTGATCGAAAAATCACCTAATCGTAAATCGTCTGATCGAAAATTATCGGGGCTGAAGGACCAAACCAGGTGAAATAAAATTATTCTTGCCCCAGCACCTGGAAGTAATTTGTCATACCATGCTTCGTGGTTAGGCTTAGACTTAGGCTTAGGCTTAGGCTTAGGCACCAACAACGCACTCAACCAACACTTTGGCTGCAAGCACCCGTCCATGTGGAAATTCCTCAACTACCTTCAGAAGTTCGAGCTCGAAACCCGGGTCAAACTGAGACAGCTCCGAGAATACGCGCATGCCCGGAGAAACGCGACCGGACGACGCTCGACGAGCAGCAGAAAATATGCTACAACTTTGATAAGGATTTGCTACAGCAATTTTCGATTAGGCGATTTTTCGATCAGGGGACTTTCGATCAGGCGATTTTCGATCAGGCGATTTTTCGATCAGGCGATTTTTCGATTAGGCGATTTTCGATCAGGAGATTTTCGATCAGGCGATTTTTCGATCAGGCGATTTTCGATCAGGAGATTTTCGATTAGGCGATTTTTCGATCAGGTGACTGGGAATCCTTACAAGGCATTACGACATGTAATCGCCGGCCACTGAAAAAGTCGTTTTCGCCCCAAGAATTTTACGTATTTGTTTTTTACTTTGTTTATTTTTACCAGAATCAAATATTTTACGTTTCTCGAGATAAAATTAGTTTTTCTGGTACTTGTCGACAGTGACCCTTTCGTTTTTTTTGAACAGTAGGTTCAATCCCCCGCATGCAGGAATTTTGCCTTCCAGACCCCTTTAAAAGGAATTTCCACACGGTGCCCCAAAAAAATCTTCCTCCCTAGCCGTCCACAGTCGTGTCTGATTTTTACGGTTTAGGTATCCATCGAAAGCTCTCAACGAGCTAAGAAATCTGTTCTTTAAAATTTTCAAAACTCCGGAATTTTTTGCTCGATTTTGGGCGGTTTCGCTGAAAGGGACATGCTTTTCTGCAGAAACAATTGAATCTGGTTACATGCCATTCCAGTTGTGTTTTCTCAAATGGCTTTCCAATAGCTGCTTAGCAAAAGGCGTGAAAATTCATAAATGGTGGTTTTGCAAAAAAACTTATATCACAAATTCGGTCCGGTTCGCCGAAAGTATTCGATAAATCGGAGGTTAGCTAGGCACTTTGGAATATCTTTAGTTGGATCGTTAATTTCATCTTTTTCTCCTTTGATGGTCATTTTCAGGTCTCTGATCCTCAGGTTTCTGTTTGGCAGATTGGATATTCAACTACAAAAGGGTCCGTAATGGCTTTGATCAGTTCAAAATTCCCAAAGACGTGCCCTCCACTCACGCAGAAGCAATAATATCTCTCTAGCAAGAATGGTAGGTTGAGGCACAGAAATAGAAATTGATGCCTTTTCGTCGTCTAAAAGCTTCTCTATCATCTGCAACTAGGGTTGTTATACGAGTTGATTCGGCAGCGAGTTGATCCGAATAAGGCCCGATTCGGAACCGGCGGATGGGAATTTCAACGATTCAATTCGCCAGCGAGTTGATTCGAATCGCGATTTGATTCGCGGCTAATTTGATTCGTTGCTAATGAATCCGCAGCCAAACGAATCAATTCGCTGACGAGTCGATTCGTCAGACGAGTTGATTCGTTGGCGAATCGATTCGTTGCCCACGAATCAGAATCGAAACGAATCGATTCGTCAACGAGTTGATTCGTTTGCCGTTCTGACTCGTCGGAAGTTGTTGTATGTTAATGAAAAACGCTATGTAAATCAAAAAACAGCCTTTTTGGGTGTCTTTCGGGGTGCTGTTTGGGGTGCTGTTTGGGGTGCTTTTCGGCAACGCCAATGTATGAACTAGGCCAGCTACTTGGCTGGCTTGGCTGAACTTGGCCGAATCAGAAGATAAACCTCGTATTCGAGCAGTTCGCACAAACCGACGCCAAACCGCTCGCAACTCATTTGGGGGTCGTTTTGTAGCATTCCTTCGAGGTAGTTGAACACGGCGAACAATTTCGAGACGTTTTTTCTAACCGTGCTAGCAGGCTGGGCAAAGCTGCTCGAGAGTTAAAACTCGTTGGGCAGATAGAACTTTTCGCGCTCTTTCGAATGGTGCGCTTCGCGATCCAGGATTCGCCGTGCAGGTCGAGAAATGATGGTTTTAGTGCTGCGACAACTTCGACAGGTACACCTTTCGGCACTAAAACGCTCCGTTCTCTGTCCCCCGAGGGTTTTGGAGAACGGCAAGTATACCGTTGGAAAGAGCGTTCAAAATGCTGCCTTCTCACCGGCTTGAAGCGATTCTCGCAAGCTTTTTTAGGCTACTAGGGCGGTTAGAAAAAACGTCTCGAAATTGTTCGCCGTGTTCAACTACCTCGAAGGAATGCTACCAAACGACCCCCAAATGAGTTGCGAGCGGTTTGGCGTCGGTTTGTGCGAACTGCTCGAATACGAGGTTTATCTTCTGATTCGGCCAAGTTCAGCCAAGCCAGCCAAGTAGCTGGCCTAGTTCATACATTGGCGTTGCCGAAAAGCACCCCAAACAGCACCCCAAACAGCACCCCGAAAGACACCCAAAAAGGCTGTTTTTTGATTTACATAGCGTTTTTCATTAACATACAACAACTTCCGACGAGTCAGAACGGCAAACGAATCAACTCGTTGACGAATCGATTCGTTTCGATTCTGATTCGTGGGCAACGAATCGATTCGCCAACGAATCAACTCGTCTGACGAATCGACTCGTCAGCGAATTGATTCGTTTGGCTGCGGATTCATTAGCAACGAATCAAATTAGCCGCGAATCAAATCGCGATTCGAATCAACTCGCTGGCGAATTGAATCGTTGAAATTCCCATCCGCCGGTTCCGAATCGGGCCTTATTCGGATCAACTCGCTGCCGAATCAACTCATTTGAATTTTTGACGAATCAATTCGTCAACGAATCAACTCGTATAACAACCCTATCTGCAACTTATCACAGTTTTATTAGTGTGTCCTTGGATGGAACAGATGCGTTGGATGTCCTTATCTTACATGTATTTTCTAAAGTTCGAATTATTTTCATTATTGCTCGCCTCTCTTTTTCTTTCAAAAATCAGATTATTACTAATCAGGTTTAGATTCTCAATACTTTTCTATTATAATTCTCGGATTTTCGTATTGATCTATTAAATTACAGGAAATGGATCTACCAATTGATGTTCAACACCGTATCCTCGAAAAATTACCCCTGAAAACTCTCTTCCAAATCCGATCCCTCCACTCGACATTCGACAACTATTTCCGATTTCACTGCAAAAAATGGCGTTGCTCATCCCTGGCCATTTATCGGCTCATTGAACAGGTACCGCTAATTTTGCTCCCAAAAATAATAGAATTTTTGATAACAAATATTTCAATTTTTTTTTTTAGGATTCAACCCTTTTCCAACTGGACGACTGGGCAATCGGTCAGAAACACTTCGAGATGTGCCGGCTCTTGACTGTCCATTTAATGACGATAAGCGTGAGTTATAAACATCATTTTCATAAGATTCAAAATTACTACTGACCAGGCCGTTACGAGAAGTCTATTTTCAGGGGCCGGGTATCACGTGGATGGAACTTCCGATTGACCTGGGCAAATTCGGAGCTCTTGCTCAAGCTGGAGGAGTACGAGCTCGAATCATGCAAATAACGGCGGCAAATATTGATGAGAAGTCGAGGGAAATGATAAGGTGAGTGAGAGAGAGAGAGAGAGAGAGAGAGAGAGAGAGAGATAAACCCCCTATAATGCTTATCTATTTCAGAAATGTCCACCCGAAAGTGCTGCATATCAACAAAGTGTTCATTTCTGAAGAAACTTGGCTATCAATCCCTCCATCCTGTGAGAAAGTGGTGATCGGAACGTATTACAATCCATACATCGATCTCACTGAAGCCACCGGGCTAAAAGAGATCTCTATCAACCAAAAGAAGGCAGAGAAGCTGACTTCGGAGACGGTTACGGTAGGTTGATTACTGTAATGCAGATTATTTTGTTTTTCGGCCTTTTAACTTAAAGGGGCTCCGAACTGCCAAATCAAAACCCTTTTGGGAGGCCTCTTTGATTTCTGGCAAATTGCCAGCGGGCGCTGCGGGACGACGGCCCTCACGCTTTCGATTTTTGCGCAAAGTTGTTTTTGCCCCGGTTCTTTGTGAAAACACTATAATTCGCGCATTCTGAGTCCATTTTTGAAATCTTCACCCAATTTTGAATAGTTTTGGTGTTTTAAGCATCAAATTTGGCCCAGAAACAGCCGAGAACATGAGTTGGCGGTGACAACAGGCAATTTCAAATTTTGCGACCTTCCCGCGCCCTTGGGCGTACAGAGGCCTCCCACGTACAGAGCCCGATTTTCGGGTCGTCACTCAATTTTTGGCATTTCGTAGCCCCCTTAAATAAAACCCAAAGAAATTGTAGGCGATTTTCGACAAAATTCGTGAAGGAGTAGCGACGCGACAGATGGTTGATGGAATGATTGAAGAACTGAATAGTGGAGAACCGGGAAGACTATGGCATTATCGAGAGACAGACGATAGACATTACCTTTGCCATACTCATGTCTCTTTCTTCATCACAAAATTACCGACGGCGAGTCAATAAATAATTGTTCCATAACGCTCCAATATACGCAACACCGTAAACAGGCCGCTCTCGTAGCATGATCCGAATTTTGAAAATAATTGCAATTGCAGGCGCGCAAATGCAATTGCTTGCTGTCCTGCAAAAGCGCACGAAAATCAAGCTTAATGCGGGGCAGCATAAGTCAATCGATTACGCGCGGGAAAGAAAGCGTCTCTGCGCCCCTCCCTTGGGCGCCGTCTTGCGCCGCTGCATCTGTTGAACCCGCCTCCCAATACCGAGCGCCGGCTAAAACATTTTGTAAAAAAGCGCTGGTTTTCCCGCCGTTTTGAGGGCTTTCGAATGGTATAAAAATCCACCCGACCCGAGCTTTCTCCATTGAAGCTGCTTATTTGGCGTCCCATAGATATTTCGCCATGCGCCACCCTGCCACAATGCATAAATATGGCAGGAATAGAGAATTCGATTTTTTCGATTTTTGGGTACGCAACTGTACGATTGACGCTGGTTACGACCGAAAATTGTGCGTTCTTGAATGGGTGGTGGAAAAATTCTGATTTTTGGCCTGAAAATCGCTGATATTTGTCGAAAGGCCAAATCTTAGAATTTTTGAAGCTCTAGTTCATCTTTTACAAGCAGAACAAATTTCCGTATTTTGCATCTTTTTGCCTTTGAATTAGCAACTCGCTTCAAGTCCGCTGCCCATAGTTGATCTTTGGCAAATGGTGTCTCCGAATGATAATCTTTGGCACAACACCAGTTTCCATCCGATGCTATGGTATTTTAGTATTGCTTGCAAAAACGTGCCTCAGAAGGATACTGTAGGTTTCGTTTTTCCCGGTTTTTTTCCGAATATTCGGGGACAAACTCCCGAACAATTTTCTGACCCACCCTTTGTATCCCTAGCATTAATGGAAAGCAGATGAACAGACATTAATTTTTTTTCCCAGTAAAATGTTTTGATCCGTATCTACAAGTCGATAAATTTCTATTAATGGGTGATACCAATTACCTTTTAGGTCGTCATCTTATCTATACCTCCAAAGTTTGAACTATTTTTTATTAGTCTTCACCTCTTTCCTCCTGAATTTAACATTATAATTATGTTTTCTATATAATTTTATCTATTTCGTATACAAATTTTTTTATTTTCCATACAAATCCCGTTAAATTACAGGAAATGGATCTGCCAATTGATGTTCAACATCGTATCCTCGAAAAAGTACCCCTGAGAACTCTCTTCCAAATCCGATCCCTTCACTCGACATTCAACAACTATTTACGATTCCATTGCAAGTCATTGCGATGTTCCTCACTGGCCATTTATCGGCTCAACAAACGGGTATCGCTCATTTTGCTTCAAAAGAATATACTTATATTTTTATTAAAACTTTTTAATGGTTTCTAAATCCATATTCTTTGAATTTTTTTTTCAGTCACCAACCGCTCTCCAATTGGACGGTCGGGTCATCACTCAGCCACAACTCGCAAAATTGCGCCATTTGGACGTCGAATTGTTGACGATTACTGTAGGTTATTTCACAATTTTAATACAAAAATGGAATACATTAATATTATACCTCCTATCCTACAGCGAGAAAAGTATGTTTGTTTTCTGTAATGAGCGTGTAATAAGCCCAGCATGCTAACCAGTACACCATGACGCCAACCGAGGCGCCGGGACCGCGTCGGTCCGTCACCCCGACGGACACCTAGCCATCCTTCTCTGGCCCTTTAAATCCCGCTAAAATGCGATATTTCAGATTTTGGATCGGCCGCGGACCTACACCGTTGATCTGGGAGAACTGGGAATCCTCGGGGAAACTGGGCGACTACGCGCGCGAGTTGTACAAGTATGGCCGGCAAAGATGGATGAGGGAATCAGGGAATTTATTAGGTGAGAGAGCGAGCGAGAGAGAGAGAGAGAGAGAGCTGGAAAAATTCTCTAAAAACTCGCGCAAGTTTGGTGCGAATTCGAAAATTTTCGATCGAAAAATCAGTATTGCTTTTGCATAACATTTTTTCACCAGCTTTCAGTTGAGTAATAGCAAAAAATACTGCTTTGGAATAAGTTATATAAGACCAATTGGACATCATAGAAAAAAATTTAGGATCGCTTGCCCAGGATCCACCAAAAAAAACTATTTTTCAACGAACCTTTTCCAGAAATATCCACCCAAAAGTGCTGCACATCGACGACGTGCTCATTTCTGCGGACAATTCGCTGGCAATCCCCTCCTCGTGTGAGAAAGTGAGGATCAGCAACACATACAATCCATACATCGATCTCACTGAAGCGACTGGGCTAAAAGAGATCATGATCATGAACGCAAAACTAAAGCTGACTTCGGAGACGGTTACTGTAAGTCCATTACAGTAGTGCAGAGCATTCCATTTTTTTCGGCATTTTTACTAAAACGCCGGGAAATTCTAGGAGATTCTCAACAAAATTCGCGAAGGAGTAGCGACGCGACAGATGGTGGATGGGATGATTGAAGAACTGAATAGTGGAGAACCGGGAAGACTATGGCATTATCGAGAGACAGACGATAGACATTACCTTTGCCATACTCATGTCTCTTTCTTCATTACAAAATTACCAACGGCAAATCAATAAATAATTGTTCCGTGACACTCCTATACGACCCACCGTAAAAAGGCCGCTCTCGTAGTGTGATCCGTATTTTGAAAATAACTGCAACTCGAAACGAAAATCAAACCGAACAACGCTTTATTCATTTCAGACAATAGGAAAACACACAAAAAGCAAAAAAACATCACATTTTCAAGAGCTATTCGTCTCGGCCTTTGTCGCAGGCATAAATTCCTCGACCCCCGGCAGTTCTCCCCTCATTTCGACGGCTTTCGAGAATTTGTAGGCGTGGCGGAGGGCGAGGTCAAACTGAAACAAACGGGATACCAACCTCAAAATCCTATGTAGGACTCACCGGAAATCGCTGTTGCTCCCAAAGCTGGCCATCCCGACGACGCCAGATTGACACCTTTTGACCTTGTGGCCGCCAAATCTGAAAAAATTGGATATGATCAGTTGTTCCATGTTTCTCACCCAATCGGTCATCAGATCGAGCTGCGTGGCGCGCTTGTTGTACTCGTTGAACTTGATGCACTCGTTTTTCAGTTTCTCCTTTGCATCCTCGGCCAATCCCGGGTTTTGTGCTGATAGACGCGAGGCGATGGTCTGGAAAAGCATAACAATTAGTAGTTTTCCAGTTTTCTAGCTTTCCAACCATTAAGCCGCGAATTTTCTGGAGGCCCTTCTCGTTTCGCTCAAAAATTCCCAGGCAGCGACCCCTAAAAATACATTTGGTTCTTGCGCATTATCGGGGGGTGTGTTTTATTTCCAATTTTTCGAATTTTTAACGAGTTCTAAACGCAAAATCTTCACAAAATTAAAAAATATAGATTTTTCGGCAAATTTCTACAATTTTTTTGATAAGGTTTTTCATAAATTTAAGTAAGTAAATTAGTAAATTTTGCCAAAAGCTGTATTAAATAGCAACTACCACGTTTTGAGACATTTACAAATACAACAAACCGTCTGAAATTGTAATCGCATCGTATCAGATAGATGGACCGATCCACGCCGTCAAAATAGAGCAGCAACGCCTCGCCCTAAAAGCATATTTTTTGGCCTTAAGAAGAGGAAACTGACATCACTGGCCCTGAGAATGAGAGGCATTTCATCGTATGTCTCATCCACCCATCCAACTTCAGATGAGATAAAGAACGGAAGAGCCTTCAGGACTGAAGAAAAATGCCTGACCGATTTTTCGGTTCTCTTGCATTATCGGGGGGTGAATAAACTTTTTTGAAGGCTCCAAAATATTTGTATAATAGAGGAAGGGTTTCTAAACTGCTTTTTACTAATATAAGCGTAAAAACTGTAGAAATTTTGATTCGAAAGACAAAAATATCGATTTTCAAAGAAAAATAGCCATTTTGACAATCTTCAGCGAAAAAATATAGTTTTTCGCACTTATAATATAGCAAAAACTCTTTTTTTTTTATTACAAGCTACAAAATACTACAAGTTTTAATTAAAAATATCAATTCTTCGATTAAAAACGGTCAAATTTGGACTTTTAAAAACGATTTTTGATAGTTTAAAGATTTAAGCAAATGCCGTTAAAGAGTTATATTCGCGTAAAAACGCAAATAGACGGATAGAAGCCCCCCCCGATAATGCAAAAGAACCAATTTTTCTCGTACATGGCTCGAATTGAATGGCGTTCGTTGCGAACATGTGGACATCGGTGCACAACTGGATTTTGTCGATTTCATCCTGCCCACGGAGCCATCTCTAAATGAAGCGATGAATACAGGGTGTCCCAATAAAAAACACCGCCCTCTAACTCGACGCAGAATTACCGGATCGGAATGGTAGTTACACCATTCGCAAGCCCTTGAAACGGCCAGTTTGTAACAATCTTCAAAAACATCTTTTTATTTCAATGCGCGATTTTACAAGGCTTTGAAAAACAGTAGGGAACGGCCTCTGTATGTAATTAACGGCCACTTCCGGTCATTTTATTTGCAGAAATGGAGGCAACTTAGCTCGTATGTAACCCCGAAAAGCGGTAAAATTCTACAAAATGGCTTGTAAAATAGCGCATTTAAATAAAAAATGGTTTAGAGAATTGTTGCAAAGTGGCCGTTACAAGGGCTTTCGAATGGTGTAACTACCATTCCAATCCGACACTTCTGCGTCGAGTTAGAGGGCAGTGTTTCTTATTGGGACACGCTGTATGTAATGAGACTTCGTACCTGTATCTTACGCGACAGAAATTCGAAGATTGACTGCTGCCCCATTTTAGTGCTATGCCCCACTTCTACGAGGCCGAGGTAGAGATCTTTGGCGCACACCGAGTCCAGCCATTTGACCTGGCCAAAAAACTGAAAGATGTGCAGCTTCTCCATCGAGCGGATCTAAAATAGGTTGCGGCTCTTACCACTGATTTGATCTAAGAATGCCGAAATTCAAAATTTCGAAATTTTTGTCTATTATTTGGGGGGCTCTCCGGATCTAATTTTTCCTCTTTTTTCACATGTTTTAATTCTGTTATTCGTCAATTTTATCTAGATTTCATGAGAAAAACCATTCAAAAAAAAACTTGGAAAAATGCCTTATTTGAAAATTTGGCCGAAATCCGGCCGGTTTTGGCGCAAAAATTGATGTTGTTGGTATATTTAATGCAATTTGTGTATTTTTCTGCGCCTAGGAGTAGCAAAAAAAATGGTTTAGAAATACCTCCATTAAAATTAGAAAAATTGGGTCCTTAGAAAAAAGGGTTCACCCCCTCCCCCGATAATGCGAAAGTGCCGTAGTTTTGACATTGTGAATTTCGGCATTTTTTAAGCAACCCTTTAACACTTACCATCGGATGGGCGAGCACGCTCACATTCAAACTCGACAATGGGTAAGAATTGTCATCGTGAAACAATTGGTTGACAAGGAGGGCCGAGGAGCGGAAGTGCTCTGCAAAAAAATTATCGATATCGGTATCCCGTTTTTGTCGCATTACCGGGGAAACAAAAAGATTTTTTAGGATCCAAGTTTTCAGATCTAAATAGCGGACGTGTTTCCAAGGGCTTTATACTATTCATAAACAAAAAAAACACCTAAATTTAGGCTACAAAAATTTCAAAGAATATCGATCTTATAAGGAAAAATGACCTTTTTCGAATAAAATTTCAATTTTTTTAAAAAGAATTTTTATGATTTTTGCAGTGGAAATAGATTTATTCGACTAAAACATTTTTAAATGAGCTGGATTAAGTTACTAGGGATTTCTAGACTTATACAATGCTTCTAGATCATTCCCTCCCCGCCCGATAATGCAAAAGAACCCTGGTCCGTACCAATAAATTGGCGAATCTGCGGGAAGGTAGCCTCGGCCGTATTGCAGCAGAGTTGTGTCCCTTTCATATCCAGTGAAAGCCAGAACTCGCCGCCAAAGAACCATGGAGGGAAGAGGAACTGAGATTTTGATCAAGTACGAAGGCAAATATCAACCGACGTCTTGAACGGTGGAATTGGCGAGGAACAATCGAAGGTAGTGTGTGAAGACGGTGCGCGTATCCTCGTCCTCACGGCTTTTGATGAGCACCATTGGAGGATCAAGCTTGAACGGCAGTTGGAGTACACCCGTCATAATCCTAAAACTTGCCTTTACAATGTGAAAATGTGATAAATTTTTAGTATTTCCCATAGATCCAGAAATGCCTAGTAATAATAATAGTAATACTGCTCATTTTAATACTAGATTTTTGTTAAAAGTTAACTATAATTTCAGGTGCAAAAACCTAGTAATTTTCAGTCGAAAATCTACCTATAAGAAATTGCCACTAAAAATTTCTCAAGTGTGACGTTTGGAAACCGCAAAAAATGGTTTAGAAACACTACCGCTATTTATAGTAGACAAATTGAACCCTAAGAACATAATTGCTGCCCCCCCCGATATTGCCAAAGAACCAATCATATGAATATTGAAAACCAACTCATGGAGGTGGCCAGGAATCAGGGCGATCGACGCCGTCACCGTTTCTTCGGGGTCAGTCGAGAAGCCGAAGTGGATCCCGAACAGATCGCGCGCAACACGAACCATTGAATATCGCTTCGGCGTCTCCTCGACAATTTTCCACATTCGAGGCGAAACACCCGCCAATTGGTTGTAATCATTGGCGTCGAGCAATCCGAGAATTGTCTCCATCACTCGTGGCGGAAGTTTGTTCAGCATCGTTTCTCTGAAAAAGTTCATTGGTGGTTCTTTCGCATTAACGAGCAAGGATCCAATATTTTCTGGCGAAATCAGCGCGAGCAAATAATCGTAAAATGGCGTGAAAGTAGTCAACGCGAAGCTTCATTACTTCTTTTTGATTGCTCAGGTGCGACAAAATCAAATCCATATTTTTATTCCGTTAATATAGTAAGAAAAATCGGCACATGCAAACTAGCGCTTTTTAGACAATGAAATCTGCGAAGAAGTCATTCCAGGGCTCAATTTCTTGGCGGGAGGCTGGCTTGAATTCGTCGACCTCTGGCAGAGCACCCCTCGCCTCGAAGGCCTTCGTGAATTTGTAGGCGTGATCGAGAGCGAGATCCACCTCAAATAATTGATTTTTATGAATAATCGGCGGGCCAACTAACCGGATAGATCTCAGGCTGGGCCATTGTGTTTCCCCTCGTGCCCCACAGTGAGCGCGGGTTGCCTTTTGGGCGCCAGATCTGGGGGAAAAACCGCGAGAAATCTTTTCCATAAAATGATTGGTACTGGACTGTTAGCAGGGGGAGGGGGGTTTATATTTGGAAAATGTTTTTTAGTAGTTTTTGACCACTAGAAAGTCACAAAACATTTTTTAAACATTTTTGAAAATATGTGGCCGTTTTTGGTCATTTTTCTATAAATTTTGGCCAAAAATTCAAAAGTTTTAGAGGGTTTTCTATCCAAAAAACGTCCAAAATGCTGGATAAATGAGTTATATCTTGGTATGGGCCGTACAGGGCCCCCCCCGTTAACAGACCAGTACCAAATTATTTTCTCACCACGTCCGTCAACAAGTCCAACGTCGTGGCACCCTTGTTGTACGCGTTGAACTTGATGCACTCGTCTTTTAGCTTGTCCTTCGCGTTTTCGGCCAACTCCGGGTTTTGCGCAGATAGACGCAAAGAGATGCCCTGAAAAAAATAAACGTTAGACCGAGTTGAATAGGGTACCATCAGTTTGCTGATCCTGCTGAGTGAGTCTCCATTTCGCTGATAACTTCCGAGACAACGACCACTAAAGTAATCGTTGGCGAAAAGATATGAAGCGTACCGCCGGAAGTTATATTCACATCGGAACAGACCAAGGCATTTTTTGCGAGCATCCCAGTAATAGATCAAGGCTTGTCCCTATAATAATAAGCTTTGGGTAAGACTCTGGTTCACTCTCCCCCAGCCCTAACTTTTCAGCCATACGTCCTATTAATGCGCCGAGTATCTCAAAATGTTCGCCGTGGTCGAATTACTATAGAGAAGTTGTTTCCTTGCCGAAAAATTGCTAGAAAATTTTTTACTAGATTTTGAAAGCTATAATATTAAGCCGCTATGCTTCAATGTACCAGGAGGCTAAAACTCAATTATTTTCTTTTTTCGTTATTTTTCGATTCAAATGCACTGTAGTCTTATTCTACAGAGCAAGAGCTACACTTTGGTACCTTTGACAGCTCTGTAGGTCTAAAGAGAGCCGAGATACGAAAGCTCACTTTGGACCAACAAAAATTAACTAAAGAAAACCCAGGCTTGGAATTGTTATAAAAAATTTTCTAACAAATTTTGATGTGAGGAAACATCTTTTTTATAGTGTTTCGACCACGGCGAACATTTTGAGAGGCTCCACGGCTGGGGGAGGGGTAAACTAGACTTTAGCCATATTTTGCAAGCCGTACATCACTGGCCCTGAGGATGAGCTCCATGCCCTTGTATGTTCGATCGACCCATCCCAGCTCGGGTTCCACAGTTCGGGCGAGATGGTCGATAACTAAAATTGTGTATCTCGTTAAAGCTTGTTTTCGCCGACATTTCTCGATTGCGGCGGTGCCGAGCTTTTCCCCAGCGGTGATCAGTTGCAGTTTGTCAATTTCAATCGTCCCACATAACCAATTCTGAAACCCAAATATCTGGACGCACTAAGAACAGATTACCTGTATTTTTCCCGCCAAAAAATTGAGGATGTTGGTAGAGGCATTCCGGGTGGGAGGCTCACATGTGATGCGCAAATCTTTTGCGCGAAGCAGTTCCAGAAACTTGAGGGCGCTCGCGATGAATGAGATGTGCAGCGTCTCCATCGGGTACACCTAATTTTAATGAAAAGGTGAACGACATCAAGTTTGGATTAGACTGCCCATATCGTTGGCTTTTTCTAAATGAAATGACGCTTTGAAAGCTGACCAATTCTTCCTCCACCAATTTGCGGGCCGCCGAATGATTCTCAACGACGAATCGTCGTAAGAAATTTTTGCAAATCAATTCGGCAGGTTTGAAGTGCTCTAAAAAGGCTGATTCTCGATGTAAAATTCGCTTACGAATAAGCTGCGGCAGTGCAGTTTCCCCTGAAAGATGGCTTGGCTCCGTGATTCGCGTCACTTTCACATTCAACGAGGACCAGAATTCGATGCCGAAAGAGAGGGGCATGCACCGGATCTAAATTTTCGTTCTTCGAAACGCGATGGAAACGAGCCTCGTACATCGTAGAGTTTGAAAGCAGTAGTCTGAAGAGGAGTGTGTGGCCGATATTCCATATATCGTCTACGAGGCCAGGTAGCGGCGGACTGTTCAGGTCGCCGCTAATGTCTGCGTGCCTAAAACTAGTTATTTTAGCAGCGCTTTACCGTAAAAAACAAACTGTAGGTAGGCAGCGAAGACGAATTGAGAGATGGGAGTCAATATTAGCTGCAGCATTCCGGGACTACTGATAGCCATGTTCCAAAGGATGCGAGTCTTCCAACGAGCCGTCTTCCATGAAATGGGCGACCTCATACTTCTTCGGCGTTTCTTCGACAATTTTCCACATTCGAAGGGAAACGAATGCTAGCTCTAGATACGCGGGCGGACCGAGTCTGCCGAGAATTGTCTCCATCACTTTTGGGGGAAGTTTGTTCAGCATCGTTTCTCTGAAAAATCGAGTTTAATTGGAAAATTTGGCAAATGAAACACTTGAAATATGGCTCCAGCTGTCTCAACAGCGATAGTCAGACAAAAAACTTGTAATCGATATAGCTTTATTAACCCAACAAACAATAAAACGATTCCTGATTTAAAAATTATAAAGCTGTAGTTGGGGTTTGTGAGTGACGGGTTTGAATTGGTCGATCTCGGGCAGGACACCTCTCTCCTCGAAGGCTTTCGCAAATCTGAAGGCGTGCAGAACGGGCGAGTCCATCTAAAAATGAAATTTTAGCGTTTTCAAGCTGTTTTTCGTTATTCCTAAAAATGAAAACATTACAATTTTTTTGTAAAAACACAATAAAGATTTTCGACCATCCATGGTCGATTTTAGGCCAAAATATATTTCTAAATGGTTCTATGTAAATATAGGATAATCGGCGTTGAGAAACAGTCAACTCTTACAAGATACACGCTATCATGGCGGACGTTGCCGTCAACGATCCCCCACAGCGATCGACGCTCGCCTTTCGGACGCCAGATCTAAAAAAGGGCGCCATTATTGAGAAGTTTTTCAGGGTTATTCCTACCGAATCCGTCATCAGATCAATTTGCGTGGCGCCCTTGTTGTACGCGTTGAACTTGATGCACTCGTTTTTCAGCTTCTCCCTCGCATTTTCGGCCAGCTCCGGGTTTCGCTCATGTAGCTCCATCGAAAGCCTCTAAAATCGCCGCTTCAATTGCAGACTAAAACGGACCATCAGCTGGCGAATCCGCCGCAGCGAGTCCTCGTTTCTTTGATAACTTCCGAGGCATCGACCACTAAAATTAGCCGTTTTTTGTGTGCAAAAAAAAACAAGGAATACCGTCTGTAATTATATTCACATCGTATCAGGTAGAAATAGCCATCGACATCGTCCCAAAAGACCAACAACGCTTGTCCCTAAAACTTATGATCGATGCCTACAAACACTTCTCACATCACTGGCCCTTAGAATGAGTTCCATTCCCTCGTATGTTCGGTCTATCCAGCCCATTTCCGGCGTCAACGTAACAGCCACCTTTTCGACCACTAAAAACCACTTTTAATCACTTTTTAATTTACAGCTCGTGAAAATCTTTTCGGCTTCGGTGTCATCGTCCTCACCCACACAAATCTGTAGCTTGTCAATTTCCCCTTCGCCGCGCAGCCAATCCTAAAGAAATTTGCCACAATTCCAGGGTTTTCTCGACTTTACCGAAATCCTGCGCAACAAAAAGTGCAATAGCCATCTGTATTGCTGGACGGGTCGGGATCCGCACAGACGACCGCTCCGGTATTGCTATGGCGCGCCCTTTCCACCGTAACCCCCGGAGCCGCTCCCCCGCCCCTCTCGCGTTTTCCAGCCAACTTTCCCCTAACTTAATAGTGAAAAAGAGAATAATAGAGTGGAATAATAATAATAATGATTATTAGAAGGGGTTTTATTGAAATCGCTGTAAAGGGAAACCAGTCTTGAGGTTTTTTGCGGTCGTTCCAGCTAAAAGCACGTCGTTTCATCTCAATCTTCGCGCATAGGGTTCAACAGGCTGCTTCTTTTTCTATCGATAGTAAGTTAGTTAAATTAAAATTGTCGATAACGCTTTTGGAAGGAGGAAGATGTCGATGGAGCCGGAAACTGGAAAGTTAAATCGATTGATGATTTGTCTTCGTGAATAGTAATATCTTTGACCTAGCTTTGTAATCGTATTAAAGATACGCGGGGGTTTTCTGCGAGGTTTTTCTTTCTGAATTCAACGAGGTAGATTTCTTTGCTGGCTGTGTAAGGATTTGGGTATGAAGCTCAGACTTGGAAGCGTCAGCAACCGAACCGATTGAACGCCCGCCTTGGAATATTCTAACTATTTTCACCCAGCAAGCTATCATCAGGGCGAACTCGTATATCTTTTCATGCTGTTCTGCTATTGTAAAGTAACAGTGCGATCATCGATGATGCAGCTGCTAGGCCCTAAATCATCGCAGAGTCCTAGCTGAAAAACGCAGCACACGCCATCGATACTGCTGCATGACGTCATTGAGTAACCTATCACGGATGTTATCACGCACTGTTAACTTTTCAGTTTAGGGCTCCATCGACATCTTCGCATTGCCTACAGCGTTATCGACAATTTGGGATAGAATGTTGAAAAAAACGTACATTTAGCTGGAACGACCGCAAAAAACCTCAAGACTGGTTTCCCTTTACAGCGATTTCAATAAAACCCCTTCTAATAATCATTATTATTATTATTCCACTCTATTATTCTCTTTTTCACTATTAAGTTAGGGGAAAGTTGGCTGGAAAACGCGAGAGGGGCGGGGGAGCGGCTCCGGGGGTTACGGTGGAAAGGGCGCGCCATAGCAATACCGGAGCGGTCGTCTGTGCGGATCCCGACCCGTTATTGCTGGTGGGGATTGACGTTAACGATGCCGATGAGCAAATCTTTGGCTCGAATTCCTTCTAAGCATCGAACGTTCCCCATGAAGCCGCATATATGCAATCGTTCGAGCTTGCGGAACTGAAAAAACGGCTTTTCTGCTGCAACAACGGCTGAATGCTAACAAAAGGGCAAACCCACCAATTCGCCTTGCAACAATCGCTCGCATTGCGCCACGCGGTCAATGCAATCAGGGAACAAATAGTCGTAGATGAGCTTGGTCGGCCGGAAGTGTTCTAGAAATCTATGGTAAAATACAGATAGACGAACTGGTCGCACCGAGAAATTCCTTTATTTGAGTGATCGAGGTCACGGCTTTTGGCGCGGTGATTCCAGTCTCTTTCATATTCAACGAGAACCAAAATTCGTTGCCGAAAGAGAGGGGCGGATCACGAAACTGAAAGTGGATACAAAAACGCTCAGACAATTCTCCCACCTCTTCGATCGTCGAATTCCGAAATAGCAGTCTGAAGAAGCCGGTGCGGTAGAGCCGTGTTCGCTTGTCCATACGCCCGCCCATCAACACAGGGGGATCACCGAACATTTTTGGTATCCTACAAATGTTACGCAAATTTTTTAATTTTTACCCCAATGTCGAGAAATTGGCCGTGAGCGGCACGATGCAATCCTCAATGGATAAGGGGCCAGAGAAGAAGGCCAGATAGATATCTTCTCCTTGCACCACACATTGAACGGTTCCATACTTCTTCGGCGTCTCCTCGACAATTTCCCGCATTTTCGTAGACAGGAACGACACCTTCAAGTATTCCATCGGGGTAATCCACGGCAGTATCCTCTCCATCACCTCTATCGGCAGCTTTTCCAGCATCGTTTCTCTAAAAATTCGACGCAATTTGCAGGTTTTCAGAAAAAGCCGCGTCTTTCGCGAAAAACCGAAAAAGTAGCCCAAAAATGACATCGAAAAAAAATTTTGCCCCCCTAACTTGAATAGTACCGCAACTTTTGCTCTTCCGATCCAACCTTTCAAACATAAATGCGGGAAATGTTTCTAAAAATTCGAGGCTTCCTAATTGTTCAAAAGGTTCGAATTTTGAACAATTAGGAAACCCAAAAATATAGACTCTCGAGCAAAAAATGTCCGATTTTTGACCAAAATTTCTTTCAAAAGGTTTTTAGATGGTTGTTCTAGTTTGGATATAGTTATATTCTAGGTTAGATACAAAAATCCCCCCCCACCCGATACTGGAAAACCCGGCAAGTAGAAATCGGTCGCGGATCCGGCAAATCTTTGTTATTCGTTTTTCCTCGCCCAGCCTTATCATAACTAACAATTTATCAACAAATCAATCGTATAACAACAACGTGAGAAAAAGCCGAAAATGATTGAATGGGAAGAGACTGGGAAAATAAATAGGCAATGCGGCTAATAGTAATGGGCATAAACATTCAAAAATTAACAAATCAGAGCATGCAAAAAGTAATTACGAACCATAATCGGTGATGTATTGATTAAAGAGACAGTTCCATTCTTTGATGGCAGCCTCGCAGGGCGGCTTGAATTCGTCGATCTCTGGCAGAACACCCCTCTCTTCGTAGGCTTTCGTAAATGCGTAGGCGTGCCGAACGGATGCGTCTAACTAAAAACAGCGATAAAATGATCTCTAAAGCCAGGAATAATCTTCAAAACCATACCGGGTAAGCTGGGTCCCGAAGAAGGTGGAAAGTCTGGGCTCCCCAAGACACTCCTCGCTGCTCTTTTGAACGCCATAACTGAAAAGAGGCAGAATTTTATATTTCCGAACAATATTCTCACCGAATCCGTCATCAAGTCCATCGTGGTGGCGCCCTTGTTGTACTCGTTGAACTTGGCGCACTCCTTTTTCAGCTTTGCCTTGACGTCGCGAACTCGTTTCGGGTTCCGCTTCATCTGCTGTTCCCATTTTTCCTGCAAAAAATGAGACGAGTCTCGATTTTGGGTGGGCTTTCCCATTATCGGGGGGAGGGGCAGCTTTTTCATAAGGATCTGATGTTTGTAATATATAACGGAGTCTAAACCATTTTTACAATTATGATTACAATACAAAAACAAAAACTTTACAAATTCTGATTCAAAATAGAGAAAGTCTAGATTTTTCATGGCAGTTTAAATTCTGAGCCAGTGCTGATTGAGATGTATTAAAAGTTTTTTAGCCCCGAATAAAAAAAGTCCCCGATTTTTAACACGTACCATCAGCTCGGCAATGTTGCGGAGGGTCCGTCCGTTTTGTTGATAACTTCCGAGGCAACGGCCGCTGAACAAAAACATAATTTTTATCATCAAAACTAAATTACCGTCTGAAATTGTAGTCGCAGCGAAGCAGCAAGAAATTGCCTTCGACGCTGTGTGTATAGGCAAGCAAGGCTTGGCCCTAGAAATATTCTCGATAAGCAATAAAGATAAGGTTCTTTCGCATTATCGGGGGTGGGAAGGCCAAATTTTTCAAATAAAAATAGCGAAAGTGTTTTTAATTGCGCAAAGTACTAACTTTAGTCGTTTTGAATAAAAACTGCAAAAAATATAGATTTTTCGACCAAAGATGGCTGGCTTTGACCAAATTTAGAGATCTCAAAAAGTTATTGTCTAATTTTTCGAGTTAAAATATAGTAATATTATACTCAAAACACTAATATAATGCCTTCTATTAATTTAATCGACCTTTCAAGACTTATACAAGAAATCCCCCCCCCCTTCAATAATGCGAAAGAACCGAAAAAAGATACATCGGTGGCCCTTCCGATGAGATACATGCCGGGGTATGTCCGATCGATCCATCCAATTGTAGGAGACAACACCAGATTGTCCAAGTCTAAGAGAAAGATTATAAAAAGACAGCGCTATCGGTTACAATGGCTCAGCAGCTGGCGAATCGGATCGAAATCGATGATGAATAGCTGGAATGCGTCGAGTTCTTCTTTCCCTTCTAGCCAGCCCTATAAAGGACGGATTAAATATAGCATCTTGTAATGATTACAATTTCCCATTTACAGGGCGCGTTAAAAAAACTAAGTTTTTGCGATTTCCGGCTACGCAACCTTCCTATTGACGTTTCTTACGCCCGAAAATTGCGCGTTCTTGATTGCCTGGTGGCATAATTTTGATTTTTCCCCCTCAAAATAGCTTCGATTGATTCGAGTTTAGTGACAAAATTTCAGAATTTTTGAACGTCTGATCCAGTTCTTGGAAGCAAAATAAGCTTTGCTATTTTTCCCATCTTTACTTTTCAACTCGGAAATAACCCAATTTAATTTTTGCAAGTGGCTTTTCCAAACACTAATCGGAATATCGAAACAAATTTCGGTCGTAAGGAACGTCAATTGGAAGGTTGCGTAGCCGAAAATCGAAAGAAAAACAAGTTATTTCTTCATGCCCAGCCCTTTTAAGCATTCTGGCATGGTAACTACGGCCCGATTCGTTTCCGTTCGAGAGATATTTCAGTGCAAACTTAGCTTTTTTACTTACCATGTAAATTCTAGAAGCAAAAAACCAACCAAAACGCGACTCGACACGAAATGGAGCAGGATGGGCCAGTCGCGGATATCCCGTTGCTTGGCCATCGCGAGGAGCAAAGTTTTGGCACGGATATGGGACAGACAGCCCACATCGCCGACGTAAGAAAAGATTAGCTGCAACATCTCCATTGAGCGCACCTGCAACTACTACTTTATATATTTCAACGTTGGATAAGACTTTCCTTTCCCCCCCCACAGCCGAAGGGTCTCAAAGTTTTCGGTATTTTCGCTTATTTGCTCGGAATTTTTGCAGCGGCATTCGATAAAGCGTCGAAAAATATACTAAAGAGTTTTAATTTGAACCTACAATAATGTAAAATAAAAGGTTATAGCCGAAACATTCCGGCTGTAGGGGGGGGTAAAGTATAGCCCAACATTGTTGTAACCGACCGTGGGGCTTTGCAAGAACTTGTCGCGCGCTTCATACCGGCCCCCCTCGACCAGCCAGAATTTGTGGTGGGTGAAGGAGGAGGGCTTGAAGTGATCTAAAAAAAAAATGTTCTCGCCAATACAGGGTGCCCCGATAAGAATGACACCGGCCACAGTTGGCCATTTTGATTCCGATCTACCCAAAAAACATGCACGGGGCGGGGTTACAATTTAAATTCAATTTCAAATAAATTTTGACCGGCTAGCCACGGTAGTTTTGTTAAATTCCCACAGCAAAATTCAATCTGCTCTTTGAGTGGAGCGTCTTTTACACCCGCAAAAGACCGAGGACGAAAGTTGATGCCAAATGCGGTCGGTGTCATTTTTCTGGAGGCATCATCTTTTATGGCTTACCCAGAAGTCCCTGCAACTCGCAGAAAGTGGGCACATCTTGTGGATTGCCAAGCTCTTTCACCTTCATATTCAGCGAATACCAGAAGTCGGTGCCGTAACAGCCCATCAGACCCACCAACTAAACAAAATGACAAAAATAGGGGCAAAAAGCGGAGAAGCTTACCGATTTGACGGAGGAATTGTTGAGGAAGAGACGGAGATACCTCGAGCGGGCCGTATACTCCCTCTTGTCTTGAGAAGCTGCTGGAGGTGCTAGCGTAGGATCACCCTTCCGGAGGGCCCAGCTAAAAGAATATGTAAATTCCCTGTACGGATCTTTCGCGTTATCCGGGGGGGGGGTCATTTTTCCTAAAAGTCCAAAAACAGCTAGTCACGTTATAGTCAGGATTTTAATATGTTTTGATACCCTTTTCAGCGAAAAACTTTGCAATTTTTGGTAAAAATCGTAATTTTTTATATTTTGCAGTATAATTTGTATCGTTTTTACGTTTAGGAATAGCAAAAGATTTAGATTATCCAGCACGCTAAAACAGACCGTGGCAATTGGGCGGCGGTGAGCATCATCGGGCACACGCACCGCACTGGTGGGCCATCAACGTGCAATTCGACGGCCCATTCTGAGGGCGGCCAGAAGATCAATGCCACCAAATACTTCTTCGGCGTCTCTTCGACAATTTTCCACATTCGAGGGGAAACACCGGCCAATTGTAGCCGATCCGGTGGGTTCAGTCGGTCGAGAATTGTCTACATCACGCGTGGAGGAAGTTTGTTCAGCATCGTTCCGCTGAATTGGAAATACAGAAAAACATAGTCTAAAAAAGCAACGCTAATTTTGCCAGGAAAAACCAAACGCGTCATAGAATTTTGGGCATCACAACTTCCGGAATTTTGGCACGTTTTCCTCCATAAAACTGGCAAAATTCATTTGTGAGATTTTTTTGAAAATGTTCTTGTATTTGTTCGTGAATTTTCAACGCGAATTTCAACTAAAAACGCACAAAGGTGTAACAATTTATACGTAAATCAACTCGAACAAGTAGTAATCGTGCAATTCTGTGAAAGTGACAAGGCTAGAGGCAGAAAGCAACCTGAGAATATACCCAATTCTGCAACAAAAATCACATCAAAAAATTGTACATAGAAATGAGAAAATCCTAGGTATCAAAAATCTAACGTAATTTTGATGGTGTAATGAATTAAACGCGATAGAAATCAATCGATAAATCGATAAATGGTTAGACGGGCACTTTAGGAATGTCAATATCCGACTCGTCAATTTCTTCTTCTTCAATCTCTTCCTCTTCCTCCATTTCCGGCTGTTCGTAGGCGTCTTCTGGAATGGGAAAAATAGATAAATACGTATCGTAAGCCAATGAGCATTTTAAAGAGACAGGCAAGGCAAAGTTCTCGATTTTTAGGCGGCCAAAAGGCGCTGCGTGAAGTCGCGTGTAAAATCCATATAGAAACATGTATAGCCGTGCCTTGCAGGTCCCTTTAAAGGGACGCAGAGGCTAAATTTATCGATTTTTCCGCAGCCGCGGCACGCAACGCGAACGCCATGCAATCGATTACGCAAAAGAAATAAATAATTATTTGCTGTAAAATTTAATTTAAAATATATTAACAATAACATTTAAAAAATATATAATTTATAGAAAGGCCGTCGTATGCGTTGCGTGTCGCGGGCGTATCCAGAGCTTTACCTTGCGCGTCTTTTTAAGCTTCCAAAACTACCGTACCCCTATACCCTTCATCGGTGGGTAAAACGAGTGCCCTTGTGCCATTTGTAGTCTGTAGTCCATCATATCTTCCCTGCTGGATCAGCTTCTCCATCTTTCGATACCAATATCGGCCACGCAACTCCCGAATCTCCTAAAATCAATAATTCCATTGCGTAATTGAATAGGGCTAACCGGTGGAAAATGTTTTCGACAAGCCGGTACGTGGGTCGTCTTCCTTCTCACTTCATCCAACACTTGGCGCTGCAGGGGAAGGGGCACGTCCGCGTAGCTGCAAAAAAAATTCCATTCGAACAGAGACTCTAAAGCCAAATTTTCTGAGGTCTAACTGATTACGACACTTGGGAATTGAGTACGCCATAAAATTCCATCCTACCACATCGAAATATGTTCAAAAAGTCGAATATTCAGTTTTTAAAGGGACTTAAAAGGTAATTTTGGCAAGTCTAACCGATGACGACACCTAATTTTAAGCGGGTAATCGATTACTCCATAAAATTCCTTCATAAAAACATCAAAACTGCCGCAAAATTCGAATATTTCTGCGCTTAAATGAACGATGCAGGCAATTCGGATGAGTCTAACCGATTACGACAGCTAAATAAACCCCCGGGATAAAACACTTGAAATCGTTGATCTTGATTTGAAACGGACTACGCTCCAAAAAACGTACTCAAAGATGAGCTGCATGGCCCGTTCGTGGGAGGGCATCTTTTTGGTGGATGGGCGGGGGACAGCCTGTCGACACAGCACACAATTCACCGTCTGACGGTGGTATTCCTGGAAATTGAGACATTTTAAGGCTCCGTATCCCGCTCGTTTTAAAGGGAGCGCGACAGTTGAAAATCCGTTGGAAAAATCGAATTTTTTTTCAGTTTTCAGTAGAATTTCCAGAAAAACACTTTTTTAACAGCAAAATAGATTTATCTGTTTTTTCTTACCGCCCTGTCATTTGACATTTTATATGTTCTAAAATCTTTCGAAAACCCATGTTTTTTGCGAAAAACAGACTTTTAAAAGCTCAAAAAACTGTTTTCGAAAATACGCATGCAAAATCGTTGGAAGCCCAGCTGTCACACTCCCTTTAAAATCTCAAATCCGGCGTACCAATCTCCTGTGCGGCTTCTTCCTGGCCTCTGTGATATCTTGTAGATGCTGGATCTGATCGTCTGCTTCTCCCAGGAAAAGGGCATTCGGTCGCACCGTCTAAAGTACTCTCTCATAGCGATTAAAGGGACTGGCAAGGCAAGCTTATAAAATTTTGCTTTTCTCGCGACATGCAACGCGTACCGCTGATTTTTTCCCCGCGTAATCGATTAAACCCTTTAACGGCGGCCAGGCGTTGCGCGTGCGCGTTGCGTGCCGCGGGTTCCGCAAAAAAAGATGACATTTATAGCCAATCAACTCCAAAATCCTTTTAATGCATAAAATATACCTCATCATAATGCACGGTACAAACGAGGGCCAGCTCATTATTGTGGACCATCGTCCGAAGGATCTCTTGCTGTTGGTGGGGCAGTTGCGTCTAGAAAATCCAATTTTTTTGACGAATTATCGAAATAAATGTACCTTTGTAAATAGCCGATGCATCGATTGCCCATCCTTTGTCATCTGGCAAAACAACGTCGCTGGGCCCAGCATACCGCAAATCTGAACAGAATAAATCGATCATATGAAATGAATAAACCTCTACAAACATAAAAAAACCGCAAATTACAAAATTACTTTTCGGGCCTTTACATCGTTTAAAAATACGTATTTTAAGTTTTAAGCACCCACCAAACAAGACAAAACCATGCGCCCATCCGGAAATATTGTGTCTTCAATGTGGCGCACCCGCTCCATCCGAAGTTCCTGGAAAAAAAAATCCATAATTTACGGCGTCACTGGCCCTTTAAAACTTAATATTTAGATTTAACGGAGCTTTAAAAGAAAGATTATAAAATTTTTACTTTTGACTTCAACGGGCCCTGAAAGCACACAAAAAATTCAGCAGATACCAACCGGTGGGAAATGGGTTCGGCAGATCGGAATCGATTGGCCGGAACGGGCTTTCGACTCCAAATCGAATATCACATCCGGGTCCACCTGAAATGGGGAAAAATCTTTCCACAAGGAATCGCTGCTAGCCTGCCAAAAATTTCCCATCTCTATTATTCCTTTTTGCATATTATTCGGGGGTTTTTTTCCGGGGAGTTGCCAATTAAGGTGATAATTTGATCGTTTTTGTTCAAATTTGACTAAATTTCAAATAAAAAAAATCAAAATATGTGGTGAACGTAATACGTCAAAAATCGGCCACTTTTGCGCGAAATACCTATATTTTTGTATTTATTAAAAAAATTGGTTACCTTTTTAAATTTAGGAATAAAAACAGCTGAGAAATACCTCGTTTATTTATATGAGACAACCTGGATCCTGTGAAAAAGTTGTCCCCCCGATAATGCCAAAGAACCGTAAATTTCGCCATCATGAAATTCGACATTTTGACAGTAACCCCAAATCCATACCTCAAAATGCAGATTTTTCCACAATATCTGCCTCTTTTCTATCTTGGCACTAATCGACTGCATATCCAGGTTGACCCGTTTCTCGCCACAAATCATACATTTATGGTATCTAAACAATTACAAAAATTAGCAATTAAAAAATGGCTACCGTATCGCGTATTTCTTATGCGGGATTGGATCGTATGTATATGAGGGTCCAGCCCCGTCTCCTTCCCATACCATATCACCATCGTCGAAATCCTGAAAAAATTATTTTGAAATTTTCACCCGCCGGAATCGATTATGCCACGTAATTTTGACGTTGTGAAATCGATTACGCCAGGCAATTCGAGCGACTTGAACCCATTAAGCTAGATAAATCCAGTGCATACAAATCGATTACACCAGCTAAATCAAACCCAAAAAATCTATTACGACACCTAATTCGAATGCCTGCATTCAATTACGCTAGGTAATTGAATGTATGAAAACAATATTAATGATTTAAAAGCAGAATTACGGCTCATTTTCGTTAACAGAACCACTTAGGGCAGCTAATACACATCCCGGGAACCGATTACGCTATTTGATTCCGGGTTTCGTGGCCGATGACGCCATGAAAATCACCTCAAAGGCGATATCTTTAGTCTATTTTGACTTGACCAACCCTTGAAGCCATGTAATTCCAAGCCAGAAAATCGTTTACCACACCTAATTGAAACTAGGGGATCGATTACGCAACGTAATTTCAAATCATGAAAAGATTAGGGCATTACGCAGCGTTTTAAAGGGAGCGTGCCAGCTGGCTATCGATGCCAGACAATCGATGACGGCAGGTAATTGATCTGTTACACGACATAATTCCAAAAGAAAAACCGGTCTACGCCATGAAATTGGCAAAAATCACGATTTTAAGCGTTTTAAAGGGAGCGCGCCACCGGGCATAGACAAACGATTACGCTATATAAATCGAGCGACCCTTACCACAACCGCCAATGGGTTCGGTCCAGATGGTTCAAGGGAAAGGGCGTACTGTACGTGTTTTCGCGCGTTGCGTGCGGGTGCGCGGAATAGCAACCGGTTTTTAGCTGCGCGGGCCTGCTTTCGCAATTGCGCGACGCGTCTATCGCACGCGTTGCGGTCTTCCCTCCTTTCCAAAGCTACCGGACGTTTTATTAGGAGCCGGGCCGCTGTGTTACCTCAACATTGACCATAAAATGTTCTTGATGTGGGGATTGTGGTGTTGTTGTGACTTCTTCCTCTTCTTCGACAACCTCTTCTTCCTTCGCCACTACCGTACCCGGGCCATCGTATTCCTCCGGAGTGATGCGTAGTCGTTGTGATGGGTGCATTGCGGCGGTGGCGCTTCTTTTTTGACCTCCACGCAGGGGACGCTCCATCGGTTGTTGACCTGAAAATGTTAAAACTAAAATTTTCCGTTTTTGGAATCGATTACACCATATAATTTTGCAAAAGAATCGATTACGGTGCGAATTTCAGCCGGGCCAAGCGATTGCGCAATTTAATCAAATCAGAATCGATTACGCTACGTAATTTTAGCCAATTGAAGTGATCGCGATATAGAGAGAGAATAGAGAGAATTCTTTACAAAAAGTAGGTTAACAAATTAATTTCTGCCGGTCGAAACGATTACGGCATTAAATTCCTTTTGCTGAATCGATTACGTCGTCTAATTTTTAGCACCAGAATCGATTAGGTTGTCTAATTCGAGTGATGTGAATCGATTACGCCAGCTAAATAGGAGATCAAAAATCCATTACGCCAGATAAATCTAGGGTGAAGAAACGATTACGCCACTTTATTCGAAGGCCAGGAATCGACTACGCCGCATATTTTCTCGCAAAAAACGCACGAATTCCCGTTCGCAAATTGATATTATTCGGTGGATGTTGATAGCTGGTGCTCGGCCTCACATTTTCAGCCATATGCGTCGATTTTTCGGTTCCTAAAAATTGAAAAATTCCCAGGATACGGTAGTGAACGTACGGGTACTGTATGTGGGATGTTGTCGTTGTAGATAGCCGTGTTGGTGTCGCTGTTCAACTACAGTATTCGCTCCTCCTACTTCTCTCCCATAAACGATATATTCTTCATTGACCATATTCCCCTCCTCGTCAATCAACACGTCATCTGCCGTCTCTGGGTCTTCTATTATGTGCTCCGCCGCGTTTTCCACCTGAAAAATTAAAGAAATTTAATCAATTAAATAAATAAACTTCGAAAAATTAAATTCCGCAAATAATCTGCTAGCTCTGCTCTCTAAAATCCTAGATCCTCCAAGAAATCGCTGCTAGTGGCCCTAACTTCAAAAACTAGCTGTCACCATCCCCTCAAAATCCTCATTCGTTCCCTAAGAATCTCTGTTAGTTTGCCTTCACATTTGAAAATCTGGGAAATCCTAAAATAATATTTTCCTTTCCCAAAGAATCCCTGCTAGCTCGCCTTGGACTCAACAGCTAGCTGTCGACATCCCTTTATAAAAAAAGGAGTTTTCCAGAAATTTTTATCTTTTTCAATCCCTAATGTTCTCTGGTAGCCTGCCCTACGTCAGGAACTCGTACGAAAATTTTCCCAAATAATGCCTGCTAGCCTGCCCAAAAATGTCCATACCGTTTCAGCGTATTCTTCGTCGACCTCTTCCTCATTCATCGCCACATATTCCGCACCGTCAGCCTGAAAAATGCCGGTTTCCGACGATTCCTCGAAGATCACCGCTAGCTAGCCTGTCAGAATCCCTTTGAGAGCGGCTTACCGTCCTATATCTCCTCTGTATCGTTCCATCATGCTGTCTCGCTTCTGTGAATCGAATATCCTCCGGGTCAATCCTCTCCATAATTGCCTCACTGGCCGTCTCGATCGATTGCACCTCGTCCATGAAGAAGAAACTCTGTAAAAAATCGCAATTACTTTTTTAAAGGGAGCACGACAGCCGAAACTTTAGGATAAAAGTTCTAATCGGTTCCGATGCGTAATTCGAGGGTGCGAAATCTGTTACGCCAGCTAATTCGAGAGCAGGAACCGATTATGACACCTAAATTGGCTGACATTAATTCATTACGACATATAGCTAACGGCCCAGCAATCGATTACGATACCAAATTCGAGTTGCACTGCCTTGTATATCGAGTTGAACCAATTACGCCATCAAAATTATAGGTCCGAATCCGATTACGCCATGTAAATGCCTAACAGTAATCGATTACGCTATTTAAAATCCAGTTACGCTGCCTTAGTTTGGTTTAACCGATTAGACCACTGAATTCCGAGCGATCATCCGATTACGATGTGTAATGAGAAATCCTCTGAAAACGTACAGCTCTAACGAGAAGTCCCTGCGGGGTGATGACCTTCATAGTTCCATCATAGAGATCACGGAATAACTGGAATTAGAAGGGGATTCATAGAAAGAAGAGGAGTACCAATCGATTGATAGCTTCTCTCATATCGAGGGGGTATGGATCCGGATCATAGAGACCACCGAGGGTGACTTGAGCATCAAAGTGGAAGCCGCAGAGGAGGCCCGGTTTCGTGACGAGCGGCTCGCTGAAACAGAGCTAATTTCGGATTATGGACGGAAAATTTCTGAAAAAGGCAGGCCAGCAGAGAGAATTTTGGAGCGAGAGAAAGAAAGGATGATAGAGGCTGTAGAGAGCGAGAGAGAGAGAGAGAGAGAGCGAGAGGGAGAGAGCGAAAATTCACGTACATCCATTCCTTCCTCGACAACGCCAATCGATTTATCCACTCGTTCCTCCGTTTCCCTGGAGGTGGAAGCACGTATTTTGGACCGCGACGCATCACCGAACACGCCGCGCACACGTACCTAAAAACGTAGCAAAAATTAGTGTTTTCAAAGGAAAACCCACGTTTTATCCTGCGACTTGGCCTCGTTTCGCAGCATGATTGGCACCGATCTCTCCGGGTAGGTCAGCTCGTTCTCCTGAAAATTTTAAAATTTAAATTAACTTCTTCGGGCTCACATATTCGAGGCCGGACGCCTCGACGAGATGCAGGATGCTCAGCACGTACTGCGATTCCGGCAATTTTTCTGGAAAATACACGCTATTTTTCATTACAACTCATAACAATTTATTTTTTTTTTTTTGTTATTAAATTTTTAAATTTTTTATTTTCAGTTTTGTTTTGTTTTTTATTATTTTTTTTTCATTTAAAAATAATTTTTTAAAAAAAAAAAAAAAAAAAAAAAAATTTTTTATTTTTCCTTAAAATTTTAAATTTTTTTTTTTCCCCCCCCCCCCCTCAAAAAAAATTTTAAAAAAAAAAAAAACATTCCGGTTCGATATTCCTCCAAAAAAACGTCTAAAAATAATTTTTGCTATTGTCAAAAATTTCGAAAGTCATGGATTTTGTCTGCCAGGTCGGTTTAACGGCTTTATACCCCCTCAAAAAAGCTTTGAAACACGAAATCCACTACTGTTCTAAAGGCTAAAAAAGTTTTTGAAGGAACGTTCTAAAATTTTTTTTCTAGTGTCGATTTGCCTTCCAACGGCCCTGAATCGCTTCGAAACCCTCAAAAAAATCCTTTTACAACAGAAAAATCGGCTACCATATGGCAGCTGCATATTCGGTCTTCTCAGTCTCAAATGTGGGTACATTGATTGGCTGGGCTGATGGCCAAGCTGACGATATTGATAGGCGCCGATTCTCCTAAAAATGCACTTTTATCGCTTTGTAAAATCCGTACTTTGGCGCCTTGGAAATCGGCTCGTTTTTGCGGGTGGGGCGGCCTCGGAGGTTCGTCTGGCTGCTGCGGGGACGCTGAAAAATTAACAAAATAAAGTTTCTGAGGCGACAATCGCTTCAAAAAATAGCAAAAAAAACCGACCAACACCTCATCGGCGGCAAAGAACTCGTTGAGCAGCAACTGCTTGCCGTTTCCCACTTGAAACGGGGCCTCACTCGCCTCGATTCGGTTGAACATCTGGCATTACGTTTTAAAAATCAATTTGAGCTATTAAAAATAAGTTTACTTTAAATTTTAATTTTAACCTTCTAAAATTAAAACGAAAAAAAGTTTGCTCTACGCGACAAGATTTCTAAAACGGCTAAAATCCAGTTTTTTTAATGATTAAGGTTTAAAAATCAATTCAAGCCATCAAATCTAATGTACCAAAGTATTTTATGTATTCAAAAATTAAAGAAGCTGTCATTCTCAAGTTTAAACTTTTTAAAAGGTTTTAAACCAGCTATTAAAAAAGTTTTTAAAGGCTTTACAATGTATTTTGAACAATTTTACGTTAAAAATTGAGTTTAGATCCACAATCCGAATGCAAAAAGAATTTTATAGCCTTTAAAAGGTAAAGAAACGCGTATTTTATAACGTAAACCATTAAAACCCGTTAAGTTCGGCGTAAAAAATTGAAATGACAACACACCAGCTGATTATCGCGCACGGACATGTCAGTCGGGATCAAATCGACCCGATCATCGTCCATCACTTCCGGCGGGAAATGCATCCCACACAATGCCACTTGCCGGAGATCCATACGATTTCTAGAAATACAAGAATTCCAATGCAAGCTGTATTATATTTCTCACTTCAACACGGCCGTTCTCTCTGTCGGCAAATTCAGCCTTATCAGCCAATTCTCCTTTTCTTGCCGGTCGACGGGCGTGAAGAACTTGCGGCCTGAAATTTTCAAATACTCCAATGCCTAGATTTTTACCATATTCTTTTGTTCCCAAAAAACTCATGGTTTTATAGCTTTTCCAGACGATTTACAAGGCCAAATCCCGTAAATTGGGTACCATTCGATCGCAAACTTTCCAGCACATATTTTGCAACGCTAAAAAGTATTACCTGGCCTCCTAGCTCGGCAAATCTCGCAGAAAAAGTCGCTGAGGACATGATCATCTTCTCTGGCCCGAATCGGGTGTCGCAAAGGGTGGATACGGCTCGACTGCATCGATCCATGCATCAACACCCAACGGATTTTCGATTTTTTAGTTTTCTGCAAAAACTAGAGCTTTTTCAAGGAAAAAAAATGTATTTTGTGAAGAAGCGGTGGGCCTACCGCCGCACATCAATTGCCGGGCTTTGCTGATCACGAGGAGAGCACAGATAAATGGTGTACATTGGAGTCCTTTGTAGTCGATGGCTTTGAAATTTGCTGATTGAGAAGGGCCTCCCGTCATAGTTTTCAATCTTGAAAGCTATTTTCAATTAAAAAACGTGTGTTCTTCAAACTATATAATAGCGATATACTTTAATAACGGCTATTTCTTCTTATAGCCACCTTTTACTACCGTTTTCAGGCCCCCAATCGGCGATGGATTTGGACGCCGAGCTCGCGCTGTAAGTTATTTATATGTTTTTCACATAATTTTTGTTTAGTTTCGAGGCCGAGCTCTCCACGCTGCCCGAGCCCGACGAAGCTGGGCCCAGTCGGGTACGTAATTCGTATTTTTCTATGGATTTCGCTGCTTTTTTTAGCCGGCCAAAGCCCCGCGCACGACAATCACCTCCGATGGGGCGCACATCGTGGCCGCGCCCAGCGTTTTCAAGCCGCCACAGGTACGTTTAGGAGCCACAACAATTGGAAGTGCAAAGGTTTGAACTTGGTTACCTAGATTCATATAATTTTCCGTAAGAAGAAAATTTTGGCTCTAAAATTGAGGTATCTACTCAAAATTTCAGTTACGCGTGGCCAGCGTCGCTCCAGCCAAGACACAGCCGCTGCCAAATTCTGGAGCCAACATGCCCGGGGCGACCATCGAAAGTGGGCCCGCGTTGATTCGTACGCCGAATGTCCCGTATGTGCCATCCGAAGCGCCAAAGTTGTCCGTAGGTTTTTATTACTATTCTTTGCTATTAATTGGCGCAAAAATCGCATAATTTTATGGCATAAAACTCTTTTAAAACATCTAAACTTGTGAGTATTTTTGCTTTGGAAATATGGCTAATTTTGTCCAACGACGCTATTAAAAGCGATTGGAACCATTTTTTCCTTTTTTTTCCTTTTTTTTATTTTTTTTTTTTTTTTTTTTTTTTTTTTTTTTTTTTTTTTTTTTTTTTTTTTTTTTTTTTTTTTTTTTTTTTTTTTTTTTTTTTTTTTTTTTTTTTTTTTTTTTTTTTTTTTTTAAATCAATATAGCGATTTTTCGAGCGAGATTTCAAATTTTTTTCCGAGTTTTCTAGGTAGTTTATTAAGGGAGATATAGGGAAAATTGACCAAAAACCTTATTAAAATACCGGCTATAATTATAGAGAATTACTAGGCATTTTTGGATTTAGATTAAAAAGATAAAATATCCGTTTTTCGACCAAATCTCAAACTGTCTGATTTTTCTAGGTTTTCTAGATCATTTTTGCGCTCAAATATACAAATTATAGCCAAAAACTCTATTCAAATATCTGTAGATAGTAGTTTTGGGTAAACCCGTATTTTTTTTTTTGATAGATTATCTATTTTTCTTCGTATATTATACATTTATATTTATTGAGCGCTTTTAAAAGATGGGTCATAAAAGAAACATTTTCAGGCGCTCCCCTCGGATATCGACGCGATCAACCGTAAGCGAGACAAGGAACGTCGTGAGGCGATGATGTCGCGGCCGGTCGGCAAGAAATTTGTGCGAACGGCTGGCGGACAGGTAATTTCGATTTTTTTTACTTTATTAATTTTTTTTCAGGTGTGGGAAGATTCGTCGCTGGCCGACTGGGACCCGAACGATTTCCGCATCTTTTGCGGTGATCTGGGAAATGAGGTGTCGGACGAGCTGCTGGCCAAGGCCTTCCGGAAATACCCATCTTTTCTCAAGGCCAAGGCATGTATTTTTTGAAATTTTCAGTGATGGTACTTTCACAATATTGGGAGGGGCTAATTTTTTCTATAAGTCCAGTTATACCTAGAAATGACATGTAAAGTTTTTTGATGGTGTTTTTCGAAAAATTTGGCTATTTGCCGTGTCTCAAATTTATTGAGAGACAGAATTTTTTAATTTGAAATTTGGTCGAAACTCTAATTTTTATTTTTTTTGTTCCGGAGAAAAAATTGTAACTTGATGTTTTTCTCTAATTAGACGCGAAAAATATAGGGTGAAAATAGGTATCTCCCCTCCCCCCGATAATGCCAAAGCACCAAAATGTCGATTTTGGGCTTTCGGGAGTTCATATTTATCTAGCAATCTAATATCAGTTTTTTAATGGTTTTTGGTAGAATTTTGCTCGGTTTTAACCAGAAAAACTTTGGATAAAACTTAGAAAAATGGTGAAACAGAAAACGTGAAAAACCAGGTTGAGAGATAACTTATCCGCCCACCCCCTGATAATGCCAAAGTACCAAAATTTCTATTTTTTTTTTTTTAGGTAGTCCGCGACGGCCGTTCGAACAAGAGCAAGGGCTTCGGTTTTGTGTCCTTCAAAAGTCAAGAGGTATTTTTAGTCTTAAAATCATGAATAAATTTTTGTTTAGGACTACGTGCGTGCGATGCGTGAAATGGACGGGAAATACGTCGGGAATCGGCCGATCAAATTGAGGAAGAGCAACTGGCAGGAGCGGCAGATTGATGTCGTCAAGAAGAAGCAGACCACAAAGAAGAAGCTCGGACTCATGTATTGAGCCTCATTTTTTGACATTGAGCCCCCTTTCGACTTGTTTTTCGTATTTATGTGCCGTCGTTTTGGGTCATGATGCGTTTATAAATCGTTCTTTGGAAAGGACAGACCGGAAAAATATTTATTCGCTTACGCGATGTATTAATTATCACGCAACTTTTATCGATTTAGGAAAGACGCAAAAGATAAATGTTTGGGTTAGGGAGGTTAATGTGGGTGAACGCGAGTTTCAAAGACCGTTTGCCAGAGACACGAACAAACCTCGTCACAGTTTTTTGATGTTGTATGAAAGTCCATAATCGAATTAGTACGGCGGCACTAATTCGAGATTTTAAAAAGTTCATTTTCCAGGTTTAAATGGGGGTTAAAGTTGGAAACCTTGAAAAATTATCTCAAAAACTACTGAACCGAAGTGCTTGATAGCGTTGATTTCCTAAAAAGGCTAGCTTCCGGTTTCGCGCCTAAAACCCTCATAACTTTTTGAATCTTATCTTTTCGTCGATTTTAAAAGGCTGCCGACGGCAGGTGTCGAGTGCAGTGTAAGCCTAAGCCCAAGCCTAAGCATTTTTTGTTGTTTTTATTGTTACGTTGTTAGATTGTTACAAGAACACTTTATCATTCAAATCGCACGTTACGTACAAAAAATGGCCAATCATTCAAAAGACTATTTCCCCGCGTGGTGCCAACAAGAAAATTCGCATTCGAACGGGAAGATATGATGTGTGGATAGACTTTTCGTACAGCCGCCATGTTTTGACGATAATTCTGCGCAACCACAATAATTCGTTGCCACTAAAATCAGGTAAACAATGCGAGAAAATGGCTCACGTTTACTGTCGGGGGGAGGAAGCCGATTTCCGGTTGATAATCGATAATCATTGCATCTTGTTTTGTTGTATTTGCGCCGATTTTCTTCAGTTCGTTCGTCACCAGATCGCGATCAATCATCTGCCGATACAGCTGAAAAAATAGACGAAAATAACATCTAAAATATTGTTCAAGTTCTTCCGAATTTTGCAAATTTATCAGAATATCGAGATTTTTGCGATTATTTTAGCCTTTCGTTTTTTTCCGCCATATTTTCCCCTATGTAAATTTGGTAAATATGAGAATACCGGATCATTGCATGCCGGCAACTGTAGCCAATCTCGTCTCCGCCTGATAATCAAACGAAATAACCGTTTCTTGTTGCCGATCGGAGGGTGCTAAAATGCGCGACATTGACCGTTCATTCAGAATTGCGAAAACTTTGCCAATAATGAGTACCTGCCTTCGCGAAAAAAAGTTTTGTAGCAATAACTTTTTATTTTACAATATTTGCTTGGAAACATCGGCTGCGCATAGTTTTTATGGGTCCCCATCACTGGTAAAAATTTGGGCCCGAACCGATAGAAGACGGCCAAATGCCCAAGGGTTTTTTCGGGACAGCCTCTCGTGTTTTCGACGTCGTGGAACCTGATGGGCGGGGTCCCGACGCGCCAAATCGACGTTTTGTCAGTGAAATTTTGCATGTGAAACTGCGTCAAAATTTGGCGAAATCGCGCAGGCAAAGATAGCGAAATGGATACCTGAATGAGAAGTGCATTAAGAAACGCTCGAATACTATCAACATCAACATCATCATCCGTTGAGCAGAATCTTTCAAGATCCAGAATTGGGATATCGGAATGCTGAAAAGGTAGAGCATTGGATTATTATAAGAAACGAGGCGATTTATCATTATTTTAGAATCTGACCTTGGCCATTAATTTGGTGAAACTATGCGCATCTAATGCCATGCATTTGATGTGAACCTGAAAGGGGGGTAGACAGTTAAGTGAGAGAGCGAATGAAAGAGAGAGAGAGTGAGTGTGTTTGTGAGAGAGAGAGAGCGAGAGAGAGAGAGAGAGAGAGAGAGAGGGAATACCTGCTCCGGTGGATTGTGATGATTATACGTCTGTTCTAGGCACTCAACTGCTTCCTGCAATCATAGATTCAGCGGAACGCGGCAATACAAAACAAAAGGAAAAAACGTACCTCAAGCCCATATCTCTTCACGGAAAGTGTATACGGTATTCTCCAAATACGAATAATGGATGGATCAGATAATGGCCCATATGCCAAATCACACAACGTCAATAACATTGGTCTGAAATTGGCCAGCAGACGATTCATCAATCCAATGCTATCGTGGCCATTGTAGACGGCTCGTCGATGTGGAAATCGTGGTAGATACCACGATCTCCGCTGTCGATCCATCGCCTCGCTAAAAATACGGACTTTTTTAACTAGAAAAACTGCGTAGAAGCTTGAGAAAATGTGGAAAACTCGAACTTTTGGTCAAAAATCGGCCTTTTTACTCGAAAAATCGATATTTTATAATTATATAGATTATTTTTTAATCAAATTTGTTATATTTTCACGTGAAAAATTGTGTAAAACCATTTAGAAACCTTTCTATTATTTATATAGGAAAAATGAGATCCTAAGAAAAAAAAAGTTGATGCAAAAGAACCGTGGTATCCGACCTCTGCCAGTATTCAAAATCCAGTGATGGCGTTGTTTCACGCTCTTCGAAATCGATCAAGATAACTATTTCCTCCCCATCATCCTCTTCGATACCATCAAACAAGATGTGAACTTCTAACAACGGCCATGGATCAGTCAGTTTCTCTCTTCGCATCGCATTGGCCCGCCGTGCGCCGTCTTCTATTCGAATATTTGGTACTGGACCCGACATTATATCACGTAATCGATGCCCATCTCGCATCTTCTAGAAAATTGGGTGTTGTAATTGTTGAATTATAGGTATACCAGCCGCTGGAATCGGCTGGACTTCGGGCTACCCCTTCCTCCCCCCCCGGCCCTGCGCTCCCTGCCCCTCGCCGAAACGCGCGCGACCTGGTTCACTATGCCCAAAATCGTGCCAATATCCGTTTTTACCACCAAACTACAAGATCGATTTTTACATATCAAAATGAAATGTTTATTTTATGTTCTTGGGCAGTCTGGGTTTTTGACCGCCCTCTATCCGAATCCGAAGAGACCTAACTGTAACCGTTTTTTGTTGACCGTGGGATTTCGATACGTGAGATAGCACATTATGTGCAGAATTTTTCGCTGATTCCGAATCCGTTTTCAAAAGTTGCGGAATCCCCCTAGATAAAAAGTTACCGCCGGTTTTCTACCCCAAATGACCGAAAATTACAAACTTTAAATCCTTATAAAAAACTCGTGGAACATTTTGTGCGATAAACAACAGCACTCCTAGGGGTAAAAAAAACGTGCTCTTTCGAATGGGCTACCTCACGAACCCGTAGCTCAAAATTCATGAAAAAAAGTTTTTCGGTGGACCAATGCCCTGGATGGCCCATTTTTGAAATTTTGTGAATTTTGAGCTACGGGTTCGTGAGGTAGCCCATTCGAAAGAGCACGTTTTTTTACCCCTAGGAGTGCTGTTGTTTATCGCACAAAATGTTCCACGAGTTTTTTATAAGGATTTAAAGTTTGTAATTTTCGGTCATTTGGGGTAGAAAACCGGCGGTAACTTTTTATCTAGGGGGATTCCGCAACTTTTGAAAACGGATTCGGAATCAGCGAAAAATTCTGCACATAATGTGCTATCTCACGTATCGAAATCCCACGGTCAACAAAAAAACGGTTACAGTAAGCACTAGCTCCTTTCCCCTTTGATTTTAGTTGGTTTCTGACAGACAGAGAGACGGACGGACAGACACGACTACTGATTTCTTATAGTTGACTGCATACCTTGTTGACAGCCCGTAGCCGTAGTTTAGAGCCTGGAGGCGTCTTTTTGTAGACTAGATCTTGTAGTACCAGCGGCAATCTCTCGATTGGGAAATGCGGAGTCATTTTTATGGCACGATACTATCTGAAAATAATCAGATTATAGACAGGGCAAAATAGCAGAGATTATTTTGGGAAATGGGCGAGATACCCATTGAGTAATCAAACGAAATGGCGCCAATGATGCGAGGTCAGATTGAGGTTGCGCTGAAACGGAGGGAATGTTACCTCGGGGTACGTCGAGCTGACAATGTGATGTCACCCGCTCTCTCTCTCACTCTCTCTCACTTTGCCACTCTCTCGCTCGTTATCTCTCACCCACTCACTCTCTCTCACTCGCTCTCACTTCGTCAGGCGAAGAGTATTCAAGCGTTACATTTTTTTGTTGTTTTTATTGTTACATTGTTAGATTGTTACAAGAACACTTTATCATTCAAATCGCACGTTACGTACAAAGAATGGCCAATCATTCAAACGACCATTTCCCCGCGTGGTGCCAACAAGAAAATTCGCATTCGAACGGGAAGATATGATCTGTGGATAGACTTTTCGTACAGCCGCCATGTTTTGACGATAATTCTGCGCAACCACAATAATTCGTTGCCACTAAAATCAGGTAAACAATGCGAGAAAATGGCCCACGTTTACTGTCGGGGGGAGGAAGCCGATTTCCGGTTGATAATCGATAATCATTGCATCTTGTTTTGATGTATTTGCGCCGATTTTCTTCAGTTCGTTCGTCACCAGATGGGGATCAATCATCTGCCGATACAGCTGAAATAATAGATGAAAATAACATCTTAAATATTATTCCACTTTTTCCGCATTTCGCAAATTTATCAGAATATCGAATTCTCAATATGTCGAAATTTTTGGGTGTATTTTTGGATTTCGGTTTTTTTCGCCATATTTTCCCCAAATTCCCCCAAATTGGGTAAATATTAGAATACCGGATCATTGCATGCCGGCAACTGTCGCCAATCTCGTCTCCGCCTGATAATCAAACGAAATAACCGTTTCTTGTTGCCGATGGGAGGGTACTAAAATGCGCGACATTGACCGTAGCGGGCAAAAAGAAGACACCACCCTGGTTGCTGGGTAATCATGCCTTTTCGCGTGTAATTGCCGGCCAAGATGGTTATCGGCAGGGTGAACCAAGCCCCCCTCGACATTTGGCCGTCTCCTATCCGATCCAGCCCAAAATTTGAACAGCGA